CAGCTGGGCACGGTGACTTATGCCTGTAATCCCAGCAGTTTGGGAGGCCACGGCGGGTGGATCACCTGAAGTCAGGAGTTCGAGACCAGCCTGACCAACATGGCGAAATCTCGTCTCTACTAAAAATACCAAAACAAAAAAAAATAGCTGGGTGGCGGGAACGTGTAATCCCAGCTACTCGGGAGGCTGAGGCAGGAGAGTTGCTTCAATCTGGGAGGCCGAGGTTGCAGTGAACTGAGATGGCACCACTGCACTCCAGTCTGGGTGACAGAACAAGACCCTGTCTCAAAAAAAAAAAAGGTTAGGGAGAAAGGGTTACCTTGTCCTTGTGAGGAGAAAGGGGGCATCAGAGGAGGGGCACACAGGGTGCTGTCATGCTGTGTTCCCTGCCCTAGCTGAAGTTTATCCGGGCTCTCACTTTATGAATACAGTTGTCCCTCAGTATCCATGGGGGGTTGGTTTGAGAACTCCCCAAGAATACTGAAATCTGTAGATGCCAAATTCCTTATGTAAAACGGTATAGTATTGGCATATGCAATACACACATCCTCCTGTGTTATTACCATTATTATTAGAGATGGTGTTTCACCCTTTGCATCCAGGCTAAAGTGCAACAGCGCGATCTGGGCTCACTGCAACCTCCGCCTCCCAGGTTCAAGCGATTCTTCTGCCTCAGCCTCCCAAGTAGCAGGGATTACAGGCACCACCCACCACACCCAGCTAATTTTTGTATTTTTAGTAGAAACATGGTTTCACCAGGTTGGCCAGACTGGTCTCGAACTCCTGGAGAGTCAGGTGGTTTGCCTGCCTCGGCTTCCCAAAGTGCTGGAATTATAGGCATGATGCACCGTGCCCAGCCTGTTTTTTAGAGATGGAGTCTCACTCTCTGTTGCCTAGGCTGGAGTGCAATGGCACGATTTCAGCTCACTGCAACCTCTGCCTCAGCCTCCCAAGTAGCTGGGATTACAGGTGACCACCACCCCACCAGCTAATTTTTGTATTGTTACAAATAGTAGAAATGAGGTTTCACCAAGCCGAGCACGGTGGCTCATGCCTGTAATCCCAGCACTTTGGGAGGCTGAGGTGAGTGGACCACCTGAGGTCAGGAGTTCGAGACCAGCCTAATATGGTGAAACCCCATCTTTTAAAAAAAAAATTTTTTTTAAAAAGAAATGAGGTTTCACCATCTTGGCCAGGCTGGTTTTGAACTCCTGACCTTCTGATCCACCTGCCTCGGTCTCCCAAAGTGCTGGGATTACAGGTGTGAGCCACTGCGCCCAGCCTCTTTAGTTTTTTATTGTAAATTTTTTTTTTTTTTTTTTTAAGAGACTGGGTTTCTC